AGCTCGAATCCTAGTTTAATCAATATATTAAAATTCTTTTCTAGGTTAAACTATCTTCACTTCAAAATCATCAATTAACAGATGATTATGAACAAGAACAGTAGGTTCTTTTAATTGATATTTTCTGATCAAAGTTAAAATTTTTTTCTATAAGGCAAAATGTACCAAAACCTGTTGAATTAAATTTGGATTTTTTGAATAATGCTGCTCAATGCCCATTACCAGATTCAGAACCATCTACACCAGAAAGCAATACAGTTAATTTCAATTTTCAATTACCAGAAACGAATTCTGTTCAAATAACAAATAAGTCTTTAAACGTTAAACATCTATGTAAACTGATACAAATTGATGAAAACAATTCCTTTTATCTGATCCGTTACAATAACAATAAACCATATATATCATGTTTCAATTTAGCACATTTATTACATTTATCTGAATCAGATGTATTATCTGAAACTGTAAAAAATAAAAAAGATTATTAATTTGAATATTTAGTTAAAATTCTTTCTTTTTTCATTTTATTTGCTCTCTTCAAGTTATTATCACGGGTTCGTTTACAACGAACAACTGAATACTCTCCAATATTTGACTTTCTTAAACAAACCAATTCACAAGATTGTCTTCATATTCAGCAAAATTTTCTCTTTCTTTTTGATCTAAAATCAACATTGACATATATCGAACGATTTGGTCAAATAAATAATAATGTTCTCATTGAAGCATTACGTCAACAGATTGATGCATCGAATGAACCAGAATTTTGGAATAATGTCTATGTATGAATTTATTTTTATTTTACAGTAAATTAAATATATAGTTTATATTTTTAGGATTGTTATAAACCTTCAACTATTCTACCAACATCATTATCTGTTCAATCTTCTAATCAAACTGATGTTGAACGCTATAATGAATTGTTAATTCGCCGGTATTGAAATACGATTCATATCCGTATTAATAAATCTAGTTAAAGTTTAAAAAAAATTAGATGCTTTTGATAGTTTTCTACTAGAGAATATATAGAAGGGTACTGAGTTGCATGCCAGTTATACTAGGCAAGATGCTCTTAAAATGTGTGTTAATCTACTTGTCAAAATCGCATGGCAGTCTTGCGAAATCCGATTGGTTAACTTTCTTTTTTACAGAAAGATCGTCGAACATGCAGTGACCTTTTCAATTTTTTTTTGTTTTTAAATAGTGCTGTTAAAAAATAGATCCAACCACGTCTTTTGAGATTGAAAAACTACCGCATCCGGCTTCTTAGAAATCTTGCCATTATATTTCATCTCTAAAATTATTGTTAAAGTTTTTTCCAACACCTTACAGTGATCATTTTCAGTATATACGTGCATGTTTACATCAATGCAAAAGGCTGTATGTAAGATAGTGTACGATCACCGTTTCATCTCTAAGTTGTATGCATCGACTACAAGCATCGTTGAGACTGCTTCGTATATCTCCATTAGCAAAAACTAGAACAAGGTTCTGGAAATTTGTAAAAAGCATTATACGATAATAAATAGTCTAGTTTAGGATATTGTTCGTTTTATTTTCTATGATAACAGATGTGTTTTTTTTCATTAACAAAAAGTTCAAAAAAATATGATATTTGTTTTTTTTTAATTATACAATTTAATTTACATTTTAATTTTGAAGTAGAAATATCTTGTGCAATATGTTGCGTACTGATCATGTAACTGAATGTACCGTTGAATTAACATCGATTGAAAATGAACTTGAACAATTAGTACACAATATGCGTCTTGGTACAGTATCTCAACAAAATAGTAACATTTCATTAACACCACCCAGTCTTACAGCATCAAATCATATTGGTATAAAAAGCAAAAAACAAAAAAAAAAAGCAAATTAAATTAAAAATAAAAATTTTCTTCTTTCAGATCAACAAAACTTATCTACGAACAAAACTTATAAATTAAAAGATTTAATGGAACGATGTAAAAAATTAATTAATACTATTCTTATTCTCTATGATTTTGTTACTGTTGATGATAATATAACAAAATATATTGAGAATAATTTACCATTTTTAAATTCTGGAAAACATTCATCAAATGATGAACAATTATATAAACAATATTCTAATTTACTTGAAAATTTAACACGTATTGTTAATGATCTTCAACGAAAATTACCAGCCAGTGTTCAATTTTAAATATTGTTTAATCCTAACCTTTGCTGTTAATTAAAAGAGAATACTAGAATTTATCATTGTCTTCCTGTTCTTTTTTTTTTATTAGTCAAAAGAACAAGTTCAATAACAACGATCGAATGAAAAAATAAAAAAAAAAAAAAAAACTTTATATCAATGAACATTAATCGGCATTCATTTTCTTGTTTGTTATTGTTCCTATTCATGTTCTAACTTTTTCTCAAAATCGTATAACGATTTTCTTCTTCTTTTTGCTATAATCTTTTTCGTTTCAAACTTCATTGTAACTTTAAAAAAGCCTATAGTAAAAAAAAAACAATCATATGTTACAGAGAAAAAAAAATCAATCCAAATTTAATTTTTTACGTTTGCCTCTGTCATATGTCAATTATATGATCAAACTCATCAGAGATCATATGTTTGATACAGGATGATTTTGATTACTCTAGTAATCATGTAGCAAGAAAAAAAAATGATTGAATGATATGAAGCACCTTTTTCATTTTTTTTCTTTTATAGCAATATTTAGTTGTGTATAGAAGACCTATCATCTCACATAAGTGTCACACCCTTCATTACTTGAATTTCATCGTATAGAATATGCAGATGATAATTTTATTGGTATGAAACTTGTTATCAAATGTGAAACATGTGTGAAAATAAAACATCCTATCAAGTAAACATTTTTTTTTCATATTATATGTTTTTGTGTACTATTGCTCATAGCTATTCTCAATGATACTAAAAACAACTTTGTCATTCAGACTGTAAATTTTGTCAAGAACAAAAACAGTCGAAAATAAGTAAGTCACGATAAAAATGAAGAAAATTAATAGTACTTATCATCTAGAGTAGATAAAAAAATATAACCCTTGAATTACTGATATAATCAATAATAAACAGAAAAATTGTAAATAATGACAAGTGAAAACATATTTATTTAACATACTCAAACTTTTACTAATTTATTGACATTAGAAGTTCATTATCGACTATTTATTTTTCGATATTCAAATAAATTATTCTATGAATATTAAAAATATAAACATTATAATAATAACTTTATTTCATAATGAATAACCCTAAATGATTCTTTTTCTTTATATGGCACGCGAAAAGATGCCTTTATGTATTCATTTCTTAAACCATATTAATTTCGATGATTAAATTTGTCTTTCAACTCTGACGCAAAAACACATGCTTAAAAGAAACTTTCTTTAACATAAAATGCAACCTGATCTTGAATGCTTATATGAAGAGTTTTATTCGATTTATTTCACTGGCATAGACACATATCGATTTGATATTGTAATATTTCCAATAAAAATATTTACATAAAAAAAAAGATCTCATTCGAATACTTCAAACACTTTGAAAAACAAATGATCATAACATTGCAAAGTCTTCAGTTCACAAAGTTTCTTTTGCCCTCCTTCTTTCTATTGTTATTATCAACTCATTCTTATCTTCTAGGGGTTCCTCTTAATGTCGTTTGTAAATATATAGATAAATGTTATAAAAAAAAAAAAAAAGAATAAAGCAAAAAAATTCATTCGATACGTTATAACGAAAGATAAAGATAGAATAAAAGTTTGCAAGTTTCTATTATAGATTCTTTTCGTTTAATTTATATACTTTTACTTGATTATTTTCAAGTAAACATGAACAATAACATTAATTACTAGCAGGAATATTCCAAGGTCATCAGAATTGTAGGAAGTCATTTGAAAGTTTTTTGCTCAAATTGAGCGTCTTTGTGAAAATTGGTAGACAAAAAAAAAAAAAAACAACAATAAAAAACTAAAACTCCATTGAAGCAAAATAAAATTTTTTGCAAGATTGCAGGGTTCTGACCCCTTTTAATGATTTGTTACATGAAAAAAGATAATTTACTGTCTTAAATATTCTTACCACTTATATTTTATCATCAAGTAAGCAATTTATCTCCTATATATTCAATAATTACTTGTTTGGTTTTATAATTTGTTTTCATCTTGAATTGAATTTGTTAGTTTTTATATATTTCATTATATTAACGCTTAAAAAAACTGAAATTATCTCTAATATTTCATCTATTCCACATGTTCACACAGCATTGGTCGCTTCAATCAATAGTATAACCTTACTTCCTAGTTAGTTTTTTTTTTCTTTTAATGTAGCGATACGTAGTGAGGTCTGATGATTATGATCAATGTGACTCATGTGCGTCAAAAAAATATTTTGGTTTTTTCCAAGTAATTAAAAAATGTATTATCTTGCCGAGTAAACAGAACGCAAAAAAAAACAAAGTACATATAACCCTCCTAAAAAACATTTTACTGTCCTACTTGGTAATTTTATTCAAATAAAACAGGCTCGTTCAAAATCAGAATAAATTTAACGTTGAAAAATTCCTTTTGGTTTGTTTTTTTTTTGTTAGTTTGAAATCAAATTTATATATAAAAAGAAAATTTCTCTAAATATAATTAGTTTCAGTTTTATATAAAATACATTTTTCTATATTAGTATTGACGATTGATTTTTCAAAAATATTTCAAGTAAGTTTACAATAATAATGTGCATTTTATTTTCGTCGATTGTTGATCTCTATGAAAGACTCAACAACACATTCTTGTTTTTTTTTTGTTGCTTTTTCTTTTCTTCCAACTAAAAAATAACACTGAGTATAAAGCATTGTTTGCTCAGTATATTGCGTCTGCATAACTTTATTCATTCTTTTTATTTTTCTTTCTGATTTTCATTCGTATTATTTAATATAGTAAAAAAACAATACTACTTGAAATTTTCCGTGAATTTTTATTATAGATTGACTGCATCTACAATGAGTTTTTGTACTGGTTGTGAAGATCGACCTTATGATTTAATATGTACATGTGGTGATAAATTTGACTTTAATTGTATTCATCAACATATTGAACAAATTGGTTCTGAAATACAAGATAATTATCAAATAGTTTCTGACAAATTACTCGAAGTTAATGTCTTACAGAATAAAGAGCAAGAGAATGACAATGCTAATGAAGCTCGAACAATCATAGATAATTGGGTTTGTATTAATTTTATGTGAAATTGTTCTAGTTTTTTTTGAAACTCATTATGAAGTATGAGTATCTAATCTTGACTTTGAAAAAAGTCTTTCATATTTTATTGAAAACATAAAACTGACATGTCTTTTTTATTCAATTTATTTTTATTCTCAACAAAAAAAAAAGAACAAATGAAATTGAATATGTGAGAAAGAACGTAAAGTTTAGGGTATGAAGATTTTTGATCACCAAAACAAAAAACAAAACATTCGTTTGATCAACTATTTTATTATTAATACAATAACAGTAGTACAAGAAATAAATATCATACATTTATAAAAAATAAATGACATTATAAAACAATTATACTAAATTGTAAAAACAGAGAGGATCTAAGTAAATTAAGACAAAACTCATACCCTTCTTTATAAGTGTTCTGGATTCATGTGATCACTTTGAGTAGATGAAATAATTATTTTTATTATTTAACTTTTGAGATAAGTGCATTGTTTGCCAATGATCAAAAGATAGTTCTTCTCAAAGTTTACATTGTATTAAAGAGAGAAGAAGAATATCTGATTTCTATACAATTATTTTTATAGAAACGCCGACGTTTGCAAGATGTCAATGATATAGCAGAACAAGTTCTCCATAACTTTGAACAAAACAAAAATGTTTTCAAAGATGTTGTATCAATTCAAGAAAAATTTGATAGAACATGTTCTTTATTACATCAGCCAACTCATGGAATTTTAAATGATCTTATTGGACTTCATCAACAACTTCAACATATAACTGATAATTATCATAATTCACCAGCCACTATTCCAGATGATGCTAGTTTAGATGCATCACTTCAAATGAAATTAAATCCATCAACATCATCATCAAATACAAATAATCAAGAATTAAGAAGAATTGATATTGAACCACAACAATTTGTACCAAGTGATCCAATAATATCTGATACAAATAGATTGAGATCACCAGAATTAACAAATCAATTAACAAATGAAACCCATACAATTGAATTAACAAATAGAAATCATACACATGAATTATTCAATGTAACTCGTACAAATGAATTACCAAGTTCAGCTCTTACAAATGGTTTACGAAATGAAGTTTATACAAATGATTTACGAGATGAAGTTCATACAAATGACTTACGAGATGAAGTTCATACAAGTGACTTACGAGATGAAGTTCATACAAATGACTTACGAGATGAAGTTCATACAAGTGACTTACGAGATGAAGTTCATACAAATGACTTACGAGATGAAGTTCATACAAATGGATTACCAAATGGAGTTCATATAAATGATTTAACAAATGAAACTCATTCAAATGATTCAACAAATCATGATGAATTTGATGCTGGTCAAACACGTAAAATCCAACGTGTTAATCCAATATTAATACCTGTAAATAATGATAAATATGCTGGTACTATTTGTTGTCATAATAATCAATTAATTTATAATGATTATGATCGTATGACTCGAAGTTCTCGTTTAACTTTTATACCTAATATATATGATCTGAATACAAAACATGATATTGATTGGGATCAATCTGATACTACATTTGGTTCTGGTGATGATGAATGGATTCAAGATATTACATATTCAAATAAACTTTCAGGTTATTTAATACTTAATCGTGCACGTTTACGTTTATTGAAAGAAAATACAAATGATCTTATTGAATTTCAAACATTTATTGATCGTACTATGAAACGCTTATCATGTAGTGATATTCATATTTATTTAGTTGTTGCTCCTAATGCAACAACTTTTTATGGTGATGAAATTGTTCTTATGAATTATGATAAAGAAGAACAAGTTTGTAAAAAATTTCGTGATTTGATGCCACCAAGAATGAATCGAGGAGCTGGACCATTAGTTGGAGAAATAAGTGATTTAACTGTTGTTTCAATTGACCAAATAGCAATTGGTTATCGTTTGGAACGTCGACATGAAGTTGGTATTTGTTTATTTAAAATTTTAAATGATGGTAGGGAATGGACATGTAATAAACAATTATTACTTGATGATTGTTGGCATAATGATTTGTCGTATACGCCAAGAATGGATTGGAGTGAAACATTAAATGCTGTTATTTTGATTGAATATATGACAGGTCATTTAATAACGATTGATAGAAATGGTCAAGTTACTGGTGAAAGTCGTTTTATGCATGCAGAAAATCATCGTGAATCACCAATTAATTTAACTATAGCAACAAATAATTTGCTTTGTGTACGATTTGAATCATCAATTGCTATTCATAAAATTAATACATAAAAGACATTTTTCTTTCGTATTTTCATGGCAGAATTTTTCATTTTAAAAATATATTTTATATATCGACATTGCAATGACAATGTAACCCTGACCTTTTTCTATAGTATTGATTTATTTATTTTTCTTTTTTAATTTAATAAAATTTCTATGTAAATGGTTTTAAATATATTCTATTGATTATCATGTTTTCTGCTATTTCAAGTCAACGAAAAATGAGAGCTTGTCAGCACAGCTTCTTCCCATGTCATCAATATCGCCTAAGTTTTGATGATTTCTCGCGATTTTCATAAAAGTTAACGATTAATTGCGATTTCAACGAAAAAACAGTCGATTAATCGAGATTGATCGTCGATTTTTTTAGTAACGCAGATATATCGCAATTAATCACCGGTTTTTTGAGTAAGGCAAATGTTTCGTCATAAATCGTCGATTATTTTAAGATTTGTGATTAGTTGAAACTAATTGCGGATTTTCAGATATTTTCACCGAAAAAATACTCTAAAGTTTTATAATAAGCTAGAAGACAATTTTCTGACCCATTAATTATCGGCTTATTAGCTTACATAACCAAAAAAAATGAACCGGTTAATCTCTTCCTATTCAGTCGAATTGTATCCTATTAAATTACGTAATCTATTACAATGATTGGCTTGTGTCACAAATCTTTGATTAATTTCAAGAAAAATATTTATTGCTCAATATCCATATGCAAACGATGATTAGTTTTCGATCGTTGTACATACGCAGCTTCTTTCAATCATCCGAACTAATTTAAGGACATTTTCAAGGACATTCGTGTAATCAATTAACAAAGAAGATCATTCCCAGCTTTTTCTTTTCTTTTCTCTTTCATATACATTCTCACTTCACAATAAATTTTGTTAATTTTTTCATCCATAGAAATTTATAAATTTCTCATCTGCTTTACTTTGTATTAAGAACCAAAGACCAAAACGAATCACGCAAGTCCAATTAGATTTGATTTGGTTCAGATTGCGTTTTTAAAAAGGTACGTGTGGGTGGGATGTGATTTGAGAGTGAGAGTCAGTCTTCTATCATCCACACCCACCCGTAAATTATTTTTTTTAATTGGTTTCTATTTAAAATTACTTGTATAAGTGCCATGACCAGTGGATTTCTTATATTCTTAAAACAACTATCTTAATAAAGTAGTGGAACGTATTTTCGTATTCAAAATGATCAAGGGGTATCAATTTATTCCTATATTTTAATTTACGGATTTATTGAATAAAAAATTATTTTTTTCATAATTCATATTTTAAAATATAGATTCTAAAAAATATTTATATTTAAAGATAGATATGAATAACAATAATTTTTATGTAAAATAAATTAATTTTGTGATGACTTAAATTATAAATAAATTTAGTTAGAAATAATTTTTATTTTTAAATATGAATTGTTATCATTCAAATTTATTTTTAAATACAAAGTATCAAAAATTTTTTTTTATAGATTTATTTTAAAGCAAAAGGAAAATAACATCCTTAGCTTTTACTCGTAGTAACATTTTCGTGGTTAACAAAGTTTTGTTGAATACACCTAGAAAATTCAACAATATCAGATATACGTAAGTATAGTATAATTGTATATTCCATTACTCGAAACTACAAGGGTGTGGGATGTGGGTGGGTGTGGGTATGAGAGAAAAGAGAGCCAATACTCACAGTCACACCCACACCCTATTTTGATTAAAACAAAACAAATAATACAATTAATAAAACTACCATAGAAAATATACTCTAAAAAACCAGCAATTCCGTTTTTTTTTTGGTTTTTAATCTTGACGTAATTTAGCAAGATCTTCAATATGTTGAATAATCAATGCTGTCCAACCTGTTTGATGACTAGCACCAAGTCCACGTCCTGTATCACCATGAAAATATTCATAAAACAGAACAAGATTATGAAAATATGGATCTTTTGCATAAATTGTTTCATCACCATTCAATGGTCGTTTTCCATTTTCATCAAGTAAAAAAAGTTTTACTAAACGTCTTGCAATTTCTTGTGATACTTCACGTAAATTCATCATTTTTCCACTACGTGTTGGACATTCAATTTTCCAATCATCACCATATGCATAATGATAACGTTGTAGTGCATCAATAATTAAATAATTAATACATAACCATATTGGTCCACGCCAATTTGAATTTCCACCAAACAGACTTGTTGTTGATTCACCTGGTGAATAACTTACACATTGTTCATGTTCACTACCTGGATCTAATATATATGGATGTTTTTCATGATATTTTGATAATGAACGTAGACCATATTCAGAAAGAAATTCATCTTCATCTAAGATATATGTAAGCATACGACGAAGACGAATTTCTGATGGAATTGAAAGTAAAATATCATCATTATCATGTGATTTACATTTAGTTACATGTTGACGAAGATTAGTTTTATATTTTAAAAACCAATTTAATCGTTTTTGAAAACCTTTCAAACAACATATTTTTTCCATTTTAAGAACAGATACAGCAATTAAAGGTATAACACCAACTAATGAACGTGCTATTAGAAAATTAATATTAAAAATAATATCATGAAAAATATGTTTTCAATTCTTTTTTTGCTTACTCTTTAATATTGTCATTTTATCTGTTTTACCGCATTTAACTTGATCATAATAAAATCCATCATCATCATCCCATAAACCTGTACCACCATGAACATTCATTGCATCAACAATTTGAACAAAATGTTCAAAAAATTTTGATGCCATATCTTCATATGCTTCACTAACTGGTTCACCATTAATACCACCAGCTAATTCAATTGATATAGTAAACATTATTAATGAATAAAAACACATCCATGCTGTACCATCAGATTGATGCATTGTACCACCTTCAGGAAGTTCAGCTGAACGATCAAATACACCAATATTATCAAGGCCAAGAAAACCACCAGCAAATAAATTTAAATTTTTTGGATCTTTACGATTAACCCACCAAGTAAAATTCATTAACAATTTAAGAAATACACTATCAAGAAATTTTCGATCACGTTCTCCTTTATTATTTATAGATATTTTATAGATTCGCCATGCTGCCCAAGCACTAACAGGTGGATTAACATCACTAAAATTAAATTCATACGCTGGAATTTGTCCATTTGGATGCATATACCATTCACGTAAAAGTAATCGTACTTGTTCTTTAGCAAAATGTGGATCAATACGTGCAAATGGTACGACATGAAATGCTAAATCCCAACTAGCAAACCATGGATATTCCCATTTATCAGGCATTGATAAAACATCTCGACAATATCTAAAAAGAAAACAAAATAAATCAAATTGTCGTTTTCTGAAAAGATTCTATTGTACCATACTATTTATTTTTACTAGTTTTACAAAAGAAAACTATAATGATTTCTAATCGACACGCTCACTAACCCATTGTCAATACTCTTTTAGGATACTTCAACACTAACATATTCTGCAGCAATGAAATCCGAAAAACTAGACAATTTTGATATACATATTCTGTCGTCAGAGAAAATTTCAACTTACAAATGTAGCCAATCTTTATTTCGAGCATTAATTTGTCGTATTTCTGATGATTGGTATATGTCTGGATCACCTTCAATCCAATCTTCAATAATATAATGATAAAATTGTTTTGTATGTAAAAGACCAGCATAACCTTGGCGAACAATATTTCTTTCATCTTGATTTAATTTTGGATTGATTATTAAGGAATAAAATTCTTCAGTTTCATGAATACGTTTTTCAAATATTTGATCAATATCATTAAAATTAAGTTTATTGAAAATTTGTTCATTATCTAACAAACGATATAAACGAAGACGAATTCTTGTTGATGATTTTGCTTTTATATTAAAACGATAATATAAACCAACTTTTGTTCCTCGTTGTTTTGGATTAACAAGATTTTTTTCTTTATTTATTATATATTCATGAAATGCATCTTTAACATAAGGTGAATAATTATCTGTATTATATAAACGTTTAAAATTTGTTTCATTTTCAGTAAAAAGTAGTTCAGGCATTTGACCATTTTCATCAGGATTAATATCGAATAGAAATGGTTCAAGTGTATCATGTTTTGTACGTAGAAAATTTTCTCCTTGTTTTTGTTCAATTTTTGGACGCATTGTACAACCTTCATGTTTACAACCCCATGACCATGTATTACGAAAAAATAATGTTGGAATTATATGTAGAGGTGCATCATTTGATGAACGATTTTCAATTGTAATACGTATAAGAATGTCATCTGGAGAATTTTTAGCATATTCAGCAAATATATCAAAATATTGATTATTATCAAACATTTTTGTATCAAGAATTTCATATTCATGTTCATGTTTTGATCGACGACGATTTTCTTCAATTAATTGTTTATATGGATATTCATTTTGAGGATATTTATAAAGACTCTTGAAATACGAATGAGTTGGGGTCGAATCAAGATAATAATAAAGTTCTTTTACATCTTCTCCATGATTTCCTTCTGAAAGTTTTGAAACAAAAAGAACTTCTTATTTCCTACTGTTCATTGAAATTGTATGGAGCAGTAGCATCTCGTTAGAATATATGAACAATCTTACTGTGATTAACAAAAGCAAAAGCAGAAAAATCATGTTTCATATTCGAGAAGGGATTGTGCTAAAAGCCTATTTTTTTTCTCAAATATAATAACATACCAGGTCCAGTCAATCCAAATAGACGTTCTTTAAGTATTGGATCTTTTTCATTCCATAATGATAATGCAAAACATAAACGACATTCACGATCTGTAAAACCTAAAAGACCATCTTCACCCCAACGATAAGCACGTGATCGTGACTGATCATGAGAAAAATAATTCCAACAATCACCATTTTCAGAATAATCCTATGTCGTTAAAAATATGTATAAGTATTAATGACAAGATATTTTGATTTACTTCACGAACAGTACCCCATTGTCGTTCAGCTAAATAGGGGCCCCATCGTTT